GAAGCAGTATTAAAGTTCTCCATTACAAGAATAAAGAAGACTATTTTGTCAACAGTAAACACATTCATCTTCATCTGGGAGAAACAACTGATAGTTCCTGTTACCAGAGGGAATTCTAAACCTTGAGCTAATCTGTGCACCTACAGCACAATTTTGCAAACACGCATCAATACTTAGGTTACCAGTTTTGGAACAAATGTATTACCAAATATGAGTTTCGTTCATGGAAACAAACATTAGAATCAGAACAGAACTGCTTTAATCACAAATTGTTTTCCGAACAAATTCACCAGTCTAATTTCAAAGCTGTTTGAGCACCTGAGCTTCCATTTTCCCCCTCTGGAAAGTATTCACCAACATAAATGCAGCCAGCTACGCTGTGTAACTTTTCTCTGACATGCATTGTTCGTTTTCTCCTTTTTTGCTCATCCTTTGGATGACATAAAAATATCTTTCTCTCTACATGCTTGAAACCCATCCACAATCGTCAGCTGCTACATCTTCTCTTCATTATCTTGTTTATATTCAAATAGGCACCAATGTTGCTGTGCTCCATCAAGAGATTTGGTCAACAGTTCTGAAAAAGCAAAAGTACCAGGGGAAAATGATGGGGAATTACATATCCAGTAACACAGTATTTAAAATCCCTTTGTTGGCTTGCAGACTACAATACTTGCATTTATAACTGTTGGTTTATTTCAACTGGAATTTTATTTAAGCAAAGTGAAAATGTAGCTTCTGAGGCAAGAGCTGAAGCCTTGGAACAGAGGGTGACTGATCCCATACTTAACATCACTGCTCAGAGCTGTGATCATTCACTATTTTGCTACAAACATCCTGTGCAGCCCTAGTCAAGTTGCTTAGGGGTTTTTTGTGACTTAATCCCCCATCTTTGAGATAAGTATGACTTAGACTCGCTATCTCACAGGCACACAGTGAGGATAAATACATTAAAGAAGAATTAATATATCACAATATAGTGATAGGAGTTCAATACTCTGCGTACAGAGTAATTTATCTTTTTGTCTCCCGGATCAAGTACAGTTTCTAGGTGTGTGCAACAGTAAAAGTCTAATCTATTAATATATAAAGAAAGCAAACAATCTCCAGCACTACATTCCTGTATACAAAACCATGAACAGAAACATAAACCTGTAGGTGTAGAGCGGAAATGCTGGAGTAGAAGAGAACAGAATTTTTTCCTTCATTACAATGGGTAAGACAAGGATGGGAACCACAAGCTAGACATAAATAAAGAAATCTATTAATTTCAACAAAACAAACCACAAAACACAAGAAAACCCCCAAACAAATGTACATCAAATTCATATATAAACTAGATATATAAGCATTTAGACACACACATTTTTACAAACCTCCTTAAAGTTATCTTGTGTAAGGGATACACTATAATTTACTAGCACATGAATTATATACTGTTCCCAGGATGAAACCTCAATATTTCTTGCTCCAGACTACCCTCCCCATAAAATAGCTTTATTAGAGTTTAGGAACGTTAGGAAAAAAGTGGAAGTAATGTCATAGCTCCCAATAAAAAGCCTACTATACTTTTCATAGTGATTATAGAGTAATATACTATAAAAAATTAGTTTTCACCAAATATTCAAAATTATAGATTTATTCAGACTCCCAGAGAAAAATCAAACTTGTAAATTGTGAAGATTATATATCCAATAAAATATTTATAGTTGCACAATGTATATTGTTAACTGTGTTGACTACTTTTCACCAAGGTGCCAGAGAAATGAAAAATTAACCAGTGTAGAATATAAAGTAGGGTTTTTTCACATCCTAGAGCTAGTCAGGAGCATACAAAACAGATTGTATTCAGAGCTGTAATATAGAAATTCTTCAGTGAAGAAGACACTAGAGCTGAATACCTGACAGCAGAACAAAACAGAGAACAGCATTAAAGCCACGTAGCTGATGTGCTGCATGCAAATGCAGGAAGACCTGAATTAGTAATATTGAAGGTCTAGCTAAAGTAGACAGCGGCTGTGTCAATGAATGTTTTAATGACATCTTACTAGTTTAAGGACTAACAAGTGCATACATGCAGACTGATGGAATTCTGGAAGTTCAGTGAATATGTGGTCTAAAACCTCTTTGGGTTTGCGAAAACGAGTAAATATTTAAACATCCTCTTTCTCTGCAACTTCATAAACTGGCCTGTGAAAATCACACATGCGGTTTGAGGTGCACGGTCTTGTTTTCAGTGTTAATCATAATCACAACCAACCAACCCCCCACTATCTATCACTTATTCCTTTTCAAAATTTACATGAATATTCATTTAAACTGTGGCTACAGAGCACCAAACAGCGGTCATGCCATACAAGGGAGACAACAGTAAAAAATAAAAATGAAAAAATCCTGCAGTTACATTGGACCTTAATGCTGTGACCTCAAGTGTACCTCTTTGTCACTACACTTCTCATCCTCTTAATTTTGAGATAGCACAGGACAAGGATTAAGAGGCAGGTTGGCAGCACCTAGCTGGTGTGGGACTCCAGCTGTCGCTCAGGCGACACGCACAGAATGGCGTTTCTGCCCTGCCCATTCACAAATTACAACAGTGAAAAAAATAAATACACCAATAATCTGGAGTGAGCGGTTTCATCCTTGCCCTTGCTCTCTCCCTTAGCTTTTGTGCTTCCAGCCCTTAGCACAGACCACACCAGGCTTGGGAGTGCAATTACACACTCGGAGTGAGTGTGCGCCAGCCTGACAAAACACTGAAAAAATAGCATTGAGCTCACTCCTACTCTGTAGCCCTGGCCCAGCTGGACCCCGCGTTCCTGCACATCCTCCTCCACAGGTGGAGGTTACTCGAGCTTTGCGGGAGAAAGCCCAGGCTACCAAAACAGCCAAAATACGGTCTGCCTCACCCTCCACAGCTGCCCTTCTCTAAGCACCATGGTGCTGAAGACTGCGCAGGAAAAGCAGTTACCTCATGGGGTTTGGGATTTAGCAGATAGCCATATTTCTCCTCTTGTCCTAACTGGGTGCACTGCTTGATATTCAATGTAACATATTTGACAATGAAAAATGTGCTGAATATTTCAGAATTAGATATCTTAAAGAAACCGGTCCCTAGCTTACACTAGTTCATGTTAAAAGAATAATTACACAAGGTAATGATTTTGGAAAGCCCTCCGAGGAACATGCTTGCTTTCTTACCCCAGCCACACAGCAGCCCCAACCACAGGTCTCACTTTTTGAAGGAGAGAACAAAACAGGCAGGATTAACTGAAAAATTCAGGTTAGATGTTCTCTTAGGATCCTACAGCTGCTGTACTTTTAAATACTTGTTCTGATAGCACCTGATACCTACACATTTTCAAAATTTTTTTTGATTTACACTGAAGGAGCTGGATTATGCCACCAGCCAGCATGAACTCACTGCAAAACACTGCTATTGTCTGCATGTTCCTGGTGTGTGAGGCAGGAGAGGGGAGCACACACACACCTAGATGAGAAGAGCCCTACTTCAACATCTGTCTGCTTAGAGAGACTACAGCTTAGAGTCCCACTGTGTACCTATAGGACTGTGGGGCTGGATCCAAAAGACTGGATTTCTAAATCAATCTTGAAATGCCTAAAAAATAATTCTCTTGCAGAATTTAGACTGTGAGAAAGGTTTTTTGAGGCCAGTCAAATCTTCAATGCATTCATTATTTTTTGGATGCGCTTTGGTACCTCAGTCCATGTTTCAGTTTTTAGAAATCTTGGGACTAGAACCAAATCAATCTTGATACTTAAATGCACTACGGAGCAGAAGGTGGTGAACAGGCCTGGACTGCTGCACAAATGTGCAGGCTGCAGCCAGGCAGAAGAGGGCATCCCACTCCACTGACTTTCTGCCATGGAAGGAGCTTCACTGCTGAGGATAAAGATAGGCAAAACACAAGAAATATGCAGCTTTTTATACACACAAAGGAAAAGGATTAAAAATACCATATAGAACAAAGATTTACAATGGATCAGCCACATATCTCTATGAAAAGAACAAAGGTTTTATAAAAGAATAAATGGAAAAATATATATAATTCCTGAGACTACAGGCAACCCTAGAGACTTCTAAGTATTATTAGTCAGACCAAAGGCTGCCAGATGCTGCCAGAGCCCTGGCTGCTCACCGGGGAGCTCAGGCCTTTCCAACAGGGCAAGATAGGACAGCTGAGCCTAAAGGGTACAGAGCTCCCCAGACAAAGACTTTTTTGTTGTCATCTTTGTTTTTTAGCATGTTTCCTTCGTAAGACTTGGTCTGAGGCTCCATTATGTTTTCCACTTAGAGATTTCATTACAGTGCAATTAGAGTAGCAAGAATCTGGCCTCATAGAAGACCTGGGTAAGAAATGTTAAAAACACACACCTACCAGAACACACACAGCTTTTTTTAATGATCTCTCTCAATAGCTATAAGAATCTACTTTATATTACTATTAAATACTCCAGAATTTCTTGTATTCTATTTTTCATTATTTTTCATTTTCAGTACAATAACCTGAATAATTCTTGCCCTTCTAAGTTTAGCTGATGACAATATATAATTTACTTTTAAGACCATAAACTGTTGGTTTTACAAGCTCCACTTTACAGTTAATCCCAGGATCCCAGTTCATACCATAGTCTTCATTCATCTAACTTCATATGAAGACAACACAGCCATTAGAATGGATTTCACACATGGTGAACTACTATGTTTTTTATATTTAAATCTTGTTGACATAGAGGAGGTTTTCATAGTAGAACACATTAACATACATATTTTGCTTGTTTTTTCCAGAAAGGGATGGAGATACACATGTAAATACATATAGATATGAACATACACATTCATACATTTCTAAAGAAAAAATATTAAAGAGAAGATCTCCACTAAGGGCAGTGATTCATTTACACCTCAACAAACATCCCTCTACAACTCAGGACAGGGCACAAAAAGAAGGATGAATAATTTACCTGAACTGAAGAATGCTTTAATGAGAGGTAGGTGATGCTCACTTTTTATGAAAGATACAGTGCTTCTCTTCTCATACCCCTGACTCAGAATAGGTGACTTCAGGTATCTGTTTAAACACAGAAAAGACTGTTGCTGACAGATGCAGCTAAGGTTTAGAGACAAAATACTGCATCTGATTCAAGCAGGTGATGATACTCTAACACGGTAAATTACCACAAGGAGTTATTTTCCTTTAATTTAAAGATGCCCTGTTTTCTTTTGCTAAATTTTCCATGAAATATACACAAACATGAATGAATATGCCAATACTGTCTGAAGTGAGCAGTTCCATCCCCTTTCCCTACAGCATCCTCTGTACCAGCCCCTGTCACCACCCCTTCCCTTTCCCTGAGGGCATCTGTGGAAGCGGAGGCTCAGGACACCAGTCTGAGGGCGGCTTCCCGATGTAGGGGCAGCCCAGGCTGGGATGGGTGCTACCAGCCACTCCAGGGTGCCACACTCCTCCACCATGATACATCCATCCAGAGCCAGAAGTGCTCATCCAGATGTTTGCTTTTTTCTGCAATGCTACAACAGTGTGCCTCAAGGTTAAGACTGGATTACCTGATATTTGCAGCTTCTTGTTAATATTTTAATAATAATTTACAGCATGTGAATAAATAAAACCATATGTTATCAGTCCCCTGTGCAGATCCTGATCACGCATGTGCATACTCTGCAGTACCATATGAAAAGGAACCAGGGTTTACCTTCAATTTGAGGACCAAGTTCTGACTTTGCCAAGTACAGTTTAATGCAATTGCTCTGAGACACAAGACAGATGGGATAGAGAGATCTGAAGTGGTACAAATAAAAATCTAAAACTGAACTTTTAAATATTCATTCTGAACTATAAAGAGAGCTGTGGCTTTTGTGTGCTACAGATGGCTTGGAAATTCAGTGCAAACAAAGGACCAATTTTTGAATACTCATAGCTGCTCTACCATAATAGCTGGAGGCCCAAAACTCCAGGGGTTTGAGATGATTCAACTAGATCCTCTTACCTGCCAAATTTCATCAAAGCAACATTGCTTTTACCATCTTATAGGGATGAAAGAAATATGAATAGTGTGGGGTTTTTTAATGAAATGTGGACTGCTTAAGCTTGAACAAAAAAATTACAATATGAATGGAAAGTGCAAGGTAAAGGGAAAAGCGCCTTTTTATCATACATACTAAAGCATCATATAAGATGAAATCTGTACTTTTTATAGATTGAAAGATTAAACAGAAATATTTGGTAGATTTAGATAAATGAAGGAAATAAAACAAAAAAACAAGCATAATAAAAATCCCTGCCAGTCATAATCAATGAGAAACTGCTGTCTGATTGCCAAATATGGCCTTAGGTTTAAATCTAGGAGACACACGTGTTTCTTTGTAAGGTAGCGGGGCACAACCTCATCAGTCAGAGATTATCCTCTGCATAATAGTTTATGGAAAGAAACCACTAACACGAACTCCTCATCTGCCTTCCAGACAGAGGCAAGCTGATACAAATACAGCTGGAAAGGGACTAAGCCCAAGTAACACCAATGCTAAGGCCATGCACTGCTGCATTTACATAGCAGTACAATGAGCGTTTTCCGATGCTATTAGCCACTAGCGGTCTAGTCTAGACTTTAAACTCTGGCATTAGAGAAAACATTCTCCCACCTTTTGTATGTATTTGAGCTTCTACAAGAACCAAACGGGACAGCAAAATCCAGGAGAGGTGGAGCATCTGCAGGGTAGCAGGGACCAAAGAAGAGGCAGAGTGGACACTGGAACTGCCAATAGTCCTCCAAACGTACAAGCCACAGAGTCAAACACGCAGGGCCCAATCGCAGCTGGAAGCCAGGTTTATGGATATTTATGAGGCACTGCAGCCAACTGAAGGGAAAGAAAGCTCAGGAATAGGAGAAGGCATGAAGGGCTTGATAGAAAATCAACCAGCCTGTAATGATAGCAAGTGCCAAGAAACGGTCGCAGGCTGATACCGAGTGATGGGTGGAAGAGGCCTGACGACAAGCAGGTTACGCTATCTGTGAAATCAAGGGAATTAGCAGGGAGAGGTGCATACAGAGAGGCAGCCTGGCTGGTGTGAGCTGTGAGGGAAAGGACGGTTGCCACAATGCTCCGGATGGGTAGAGGTAACTAGTGCTGCCTTTGTCAAGATTAGAGAAACGGATGTTGTGAAAAATCAAGATAAGATGATGGGAGCTGGGGCAAGCATTTTAATTGCTTCCAGCCAGTACAGGAAAAGTGGCAGTTTACGGCAGAGAACCAGCCTGCTGGTTTTGGGAACAGCCCAGGAAAGTGGTGTGAAGTGAAGAGCAGACCTGCAACCTTGCTGGAGGGAGGCAGGATGATGCACCGCTGGCAGAGAATGAGGAAAGAGGACTTGGCAAGGCTTGTTGAAGCAGGCAGGAGGACAGGGCCTCCCTTTCAGCATTTTCGGCTGTCGGATCAGGATCCATCAGAGGGCAAGCAGGGATTGCAGTCTGAAACCATGTGTTGGCCTCTGTTTTCAGCTAAGGCAAAAGAGCAGGAGACAAGCAGAGGGGAAAGGGCAGGATCCTGTGGCACTCCAGCAGAAAGGAGAGCTTTTCCAATGACCTCACTGTCCTTTTAAGAGTAACTGCTTTCGAGGACAGAGTGTCCCAACAGGATACTTAAATGCCTTCAGCATAGTACAATATTCAGAGATGAAACCGAACAACTTTTCATGAAATCTGCCTCCAATAAAAACATCCTTATTGCCCTGGGCTAATGTGTAAGTTAGCGAGAGATTATGGTTCAGCTTCTATAGCCATTTTATGTAATATGAAAAAAAATCCATAGGGACCTCCTCTGTTAGTCCTCTAAAATATAAAATGTAGTTTTAAGCTACACTTCATCATGGTAATAGGCTATCAGCTATTTTCCTAAATCCTCAGACTCACTGCTGTCAGTCTAGGCAGAGCCAGACAACCTGACTTAATCACCTCCTAGTGACTTGCTGCACTGTGCCCCTTCCTTTTGAACATATATAAATTCTAATTATTTTTTAGTCCTTTACTAGAACACTTGCAAAATGACTGCTACCCTCGTGGCATACAGATGTGGACATTTATAGGCACAGGAGCCGCAGTGCCATGGGGCCTCCTTCCCCAGAGGTTGCATGTCGCTGGCGGAGCTCAGCAGAGGGTACCACCACCTCTTCAGCACCAATCCTCTCCTCGTTTCTCCTGCTCCTCTTCTGGAGGGGCAGCAAGTGTTAGAGCAAGATTATATTCTCATGATACAAGGCTACAGTGGCTGGTGTTATAATAGCTTAAACCTATCCCTGAGATGAGCTTGACTGTCTGTACAATCATGTACGTTTGAATGCCTACCCAAACCACCAGCCTCCCCCCAGGATGTGGTTTCCTCAGGGACACCCTGATCTGTCCCCCTCTACCACCTTGTGCCCCCTTCTGGGCTGCCTCTGTCCTTCAGATGTGATGGAAATTGGGTTTCCCTGCCTCCCTCCCCTCTAGGCATCTCCAAGTTTGCCCATGCTGTGCATTACTAAGAGAAAAGTCCCCAAAATCAGAAGACTGGCTTTAAAATTATGAGCTGATTTCAGTCATCACAAATACCATTCAGACTGCAGTTTTGGCTCTTTTCTCCTCTGCTATGGAGAGGCAAACTGAAAGGGGGCATAAAGCACACAATGTTCAGTGAGAACCAGGCTGAAGGAGGAGTTATTTTCGCTGGTCTGTTGCCTTCTCTAAAATCTGTAATATAACAATTCATGCATTCAAATCACAAGAGGCAGCAAGGGTGTCACCAGTCTGCTGCCTAATCCCTCACGTTCACAGTAACAAAGACCTCTTCCCCACCAGCTCCTGCAGAGAGGCAGGCTGAGAACAAGGATCCCACAGGGACAGGTGCTGTCCTGTGTTTTTGCACTGTCCCATGTCTCCATATCTTCATCTGGAGACAGAGGTAGAACACGGACCGTGGGATACTATGGCTTCAAAAGCACTGCCTGTGCCCTGGTCTCTCAGATTCCGCTGATAAACTGGGAACTGTCACATAGTGCCACAAGCGGCAGATAGACACACCCGGAGCATGGGTTCATAACCACATTCATGGAGCACACCGCATTCCCTGAAGGGAAGGACGGTCCAGTTCCTAGAGTTGTCCTAACTCGGGTGACTGAGCAGGACTCATGATTATAAAGAGCTTTGGAGCTCTCTGGAAGTCAAGTCACTACATAAAGCACAAACTCGGGCACTACTATTCCTTTACACTCCCATCCAGAAACTGGGACCAACAGTATCTCACCGCTCTTCCTCCCAGCTCTGCTCCATATGCAGTTTCCATTCCTGTCATGAAAATAAACAAACCGGAGGCAACTCTTGCTGCCTACTTTAATGTCCCAATTCCCTGACCTATGAAAGACTATCTACACTGCAGTATATTTCTGTCCAAGCCTTAACAGTTAACTCTCCCCCAGGAATCGCACGTTATTGGGGAAAGAAGCACTGCAAAAGCAGGCCCCTCGCTGCGGTTGTTTATAGACCGGATCACCAATTCTGGGAGACCAATGGGATAAACACAGTCCAAGTGGTTTCCTATATCATCATCGTAAGTTTAAAAAAATACTCTTATAAAAGGTACTTTAATCGGAGGAACTTACTTTTTAATTTGCAATTTTAAATGTGAGCATGTTATAACTTGTAGCTGAACATTTCTATAAAGATAATTACATATGGCAAGACAGAAAAACTTTTTAAAACATTTTCTCTTGAATGTGTGCCTGAATTCATTTACAACTGTTGCTGCTTTAAACACTTCAGGCAGAATAAGTGGATGGCACTAAACAGCTTAGCTGCAATTATTATGGAATGTCTGAGGTATAATTTCCCCTGCGGTTTTGTTAGGCGTACAAAATTCATAATTCTGATTTGTGGCAGGTACTTATTACCCATCGCAGGTGGAGATATGCAAATATTATTCTAGTAGGGGTGAACAGCCTTTATTTCAGTATTCAGCTATTAACGAGATTTGTGAGTCTGGTACTCTGGGGCCATTTAATTAATTAGATGGTACAGATAA